TTCCGTAATCCAAATTGCAAACCAAGAACGCCAAAACGTTTATAATGATATCGAATCATTAATTTTTAATAGAGAGCGATTTTCACTTAATAACTTATTAAATTTTACACCCGATAATTGGCTAGCTAATCGTAACCCGGTCATTATTAACTTTATTAATACTATTACTCGTAATGATAGTAATAATCATAGTGATTGTACATCAAATGAAAAAAACTTTAAAAAAATAGTTGCGATTGATTCAATATATGGGTCAAGACATAAAAACTACGTATCAGAAATAAGTCTAGCCATATCAGGAATCAAATATTCACTATCCCGATCTAAGACAATTGTTGACATTGATAATCACGTAGTTAGTTCTGGAAGTTATACTAAATTCGTTAACTGGCTAGAATCGTTAGCAATTGAAAGTGAACCTTTACCTAAAGGACTTCTATTCCTGGCCTTTGATAATGAACAATGAGGTCAACATAATTATCTTGATCGCAGATATAACACGGTTATTTATCACACAGTTACGAGTTTTGTTGCTTTAAACATGAATAAAAATGATTTAACTCAATTTGTAATCGCACCTTGGCTTAATGACTCATTAACTGATGAAGAATACGAAAACTTATATTATCTTACACCAGAAATGAAAAAAGAACATGAATCGGAATTAAAAATATACTTATCCTCAATTTTAAAGGACCTTATAGCTGAAAAAACCCAAACAACGAATATCATTGATCAAAGTATAAAAAATCAAAAAGGTGCCGCGGGTCAATCAAAATGGTGTAAAAAATGCAATACAACCAACATTGATAATAAAAAACGTACATGCCCTAAATGTAATGAGAAATTAGATACATTAGCTACTTTACAAGCAGAATCTGCTGATGAACTTGCACAACTTAATAACACGGCCACCCAATCCAAACCTCTCATAATAAAGTCTCATTCTTATACTCACGAACAAAAAAGCTCTCATTTCGAACGTATTAGTATTACCCAACGATCAGAACCAGATGACGATGTTATTGTTCCAGAAATGTATGTGCCGGATCCATTAGAATTTCATCCTAACTCAATAAACAATGTAAAAAAAGTTTTAGAGCATATACAGAGTATTACACGAATAAACCAAGAAGAACGAAAATGGCTACCCATTACCTGTGATGGCGTTCCTTATAACCTTGCTCAAAAAATCAAAAAAGACTTTCAGTGGCTTATACTGATTCCTGGTGCCCTACATGAAGAAATGAATATGCTCAAAGCATTTGTAGAGCTTAATTGGTATTTTATTCCTCTTATTATCGTGAAATTAATAAAAATTCGAATATAATAGTCTAATTCTTATTAACGTATTCTTTTAAGGATGATTGATATCAAAAAATTTGCTAATATTCAAGGATACAGGACTGAAAACCAACTTGGGTATTTTAAAAAATGCGCCGATCATCACAAATCGTGGGACTCTATTTGCAACATTTATCGACATGCTATTATATGTGAATTATTATGGCCATACGTAGTTGCAACTAAAAATCCTTCGGCTGATGGCTATCTAGACTGGGCAAAAAAACAAAATGATCATAAATATAAGCTGAAATTTGAACAAGTAAGACTTCAAATAAAAAATAAAATGCTCTATCTAAAACTTTTTAGCTAATTATTATTATAGACATTTGTTTACCTCCAGGCCATTATTAATTTTCGTACGGGGGTTAGAAACAACCGGCCATTGTTGGTAAATACTGCTCGACATATGTTTTCTCCAGTATGGTCTGGTCGTAGGCATCCTATATACCGCCTAATTGAGATAACTTACGAAGAGCAATTAATGCGATTAAATCCTGAAATTAGACAACGCATAGAATCCTACTCAGTTATTTCATGATCAGGATATCATCATCAACATCAAGGTCTTGATGCTATTCTCGAAGAAGTTAATAAATCTTTGAAGGCCTTGATTCCACCCGTACCTTCACAAAAGCATTGGAGAATTGCTGCAAGGAATTGTACAAAATTTATAAAGGTTAGTGAAAAATATATATTTAAATAAAAACAATTGTACTTACAATCTTAATCTAATAAAATAAATAAAAATTTATAAATCATTTTGAATTAGTTGCGTCATATATTATTTAATATGATTGGGTATAGTGACAATGAATCATCAGGAGGTCGAACACGTCCAGATTACATCACAGAATCGCAACGATTTCGAGTTCAATTATGACAAACTGGGTTTTTGAATCCTCAAGGCAATGATCGTACATTTAAGAGCCTTGGAGATGAGCATCTACTTAGCAAGAAGCTAAAAAATTTTAGTGATTTAGCATGTGAAAGACGAATCAAGTTTATTAATGAAACTTTCAAAGAAAACAGGCCAAATCATTCGCTGCGACCAATACCTGTTACTGCTCAAGAGGAAGCAGCTGCTATAGATGAAGCAAATATGTCGAAAGAAGAGCTTCTATTAATTATTAATTTATTGCTAAATTCAGTTAATATTTCAGATCGTCCAAAGTATCGTGGGTTAAAGCAAAAAAATCGTGCTCAATTACGAGAGATCTTACAAAATATTAGAGACCTTCATAATGAGCAAGATGAACCTGAAGATGAAATAGAACTTGAAAGTTAAATAATAAAATATTAATATTCTTCTGCTTTTAGTTGTAATAACCAAAATTACATTAACACTAATTTTTGTCACCTTAATTTGATTTTAAAAATCAGATATTAAGTTCCACATTCTGAGGCTAGTGATACAAATCGTCAAAAATTTTGCAATCGATTAGTTGTCAACTAAACGATTATTCAATTTTTATTCATTTTAATATAAGTTGACAAAAATTTTTCAATCGATTAGTTGTCAACTAAGCCAACTA